TGCAGCTATCTTAAAAGCTTCAAAATGAGGTTATCCAAAAATTGGTTTCTTTGAAAGAGTTTTTCTTATAGAAGTTGAATACATGCTTGATGAAATTTTTAAAATAAGAGACATCAATGTCAATAAGCTAAAATTTCAATTAGACAATTTTCATCTTTACTGTTTAAAGCCTTTGCAATGGACTGTCTTGATATTTTCAACACTGGAATCAAAAGAACGGGTATTTACCAAATACATCCGTGGAGAAACTCCACATATAAAGAAGTACTCTGTGGTATGGACATCATGGGAGGTGGGTGGACGGTGTGTAAAACTCTTTTTAAATTTTTTTAATGGAGTTAGTCCGCAATATCGTAATATTAAAATGAGTGCTGGACATTTATAAGATGTTTGAAACATATATCACTACCTTAATTGCATAAGGAAAATATACGCTGTAAGTAGTATTAATAGTTTCACCATAAAGTTTAGGGCTAAAAAAGAAATACTAGTACACTAGTACCTGTTTTCTCATGTCGACATCAATATGATAGATTAATTTTTTTTATTTACAGACTCTATCTCATTCGTATACTACTATAAGTGGATCTTGTGCATTTATGATGAGCTACCATGCAATTTTTTTTTTGGCTTGAAATATTGTATATAGCTAACTACTCTTAGATTTAGTTACATCTTTAAAGAAGCTAAAAGCAGGCAGCACATGCCTTCCTTGTTTATACACATGAAATACCATAAATCTGGAAATTCTTGCTGTAGATAAAATTTTAGCAAATTTGCGAGTTCATTGCATTCGCAAAAATATTTTTCTTAAAAATAATTCAACAATAAGAAAATGTAAACAAAGTAGTGGTCATTCGCAAAATTTTGAAACGCAAAAATTAATCAATAGCATTTTGACCCAGATTCGCAAAATAAAATCGACGTAAAAATTTCAAGATTTACGGTAGTTCAAAATGGGTGATACAGTTTATTCGACCTTCTACGGAAAAAGAAAACGTTTCTGTTCTTTTTCAAAAGCGAATAGATGGATCTGTGTCTTTTGCAAGGAATTGGACAGAATATCAAAATGGTTTTGGGAACGTGTCTCCTGAATATTGGTTAGGTAAAATTCAGATTTGATTCTCTCTCAATATCTCCTTTTTCTAATGATTTCATTTTTTCTTTCATATTTTCCTAAACCTTTTTTTCAGGAAATGATGCAATACATGAACTAACTCGCAATTCTTCCTCTCTTTATGTTAAAATAAAAAAACACAAATGGACACCGGTACTTCCGATATTACTCGGACTTCCGGATCAGTGGTGCTGACGATGACTTTAAATTACATCTGGGAACTTACTCCAATGGAACAGCAAGTGAAAAGATACCAAGATGCTCTTTATATTTTGTATATAAATCTTTTCGTGTCATGGGAGTCTTATGATATCAGAGGCAAAAAATGTTAGCAGTATAAAGTTAAAACTTTTAATCTGCAGCATGGAAACTGTCTCTAAGCCAAATCTACATGTTAGACTTTCAAAAAAACTGCCATTCATTTAATTTTTTGTAAAATGACAGCTTTCCAATTAATGGTCAAATAAATGTTCATCATGTTTTTTGATATTAGTTGCCGAAAGTACCCTGGTACCCAACGCCCTAACAATACGTACTGTTCTAATAGTTTAATTTGAACTACTGTTCTTTCCTTCTTGCTTTGGTTCTGTTAATAATTACATATCATTTTTTATCTTTCAAATATTATGATAAAGCAGTATTAGATATGTTTGTTTTGAAAACTTCGCCACAGAAACCGTTGCTCTTCGTTATAATGAAAAATATATATGAAGCAATGTATAGTCAATTTTACTATATGATATTATCAAAGTTAAGAAAGGATGTCAGGTTTAAGTATAAAATGAAAACGATTCCTTCACTTTACTACATTTATTATTTCCTGAAAACATATCTACGTTGATAAAAATATGAAAATTAGACATGACATGTGATTCCCACGAATTTATATTTTTACTTTTATAATTTACCTTACTATTAAAAAATTTCAATATCCTTTTCAACACCCTTTACAATAAAATGATTCACTGTTTCCACTTTCATTTTCAATTTTTTTTAGAAAGTCTCGTCCTCGATGGCGTGTTTTGGCTACACTAAGGGTGGCTGGTGGTTCGGATATTGTCATTCCGCCTACCTAAATGGAGTAATCCCTGGTCAATGGAAATACGAACTGGACCTGAATTCCGATCATCCCAAATGATGACAAGAAGACATAAGTAGTTCAATGTATATTATACAGAAAATAAATTTTTTTCTGTTATGTAATTTTGATATTTGTTGGATGGGTCTAGAGTGAAAAAAGTTTTCATGTTTTTTATAAACTTGGCTTAATTTATGAGTTAAACTTAATTGATCCCATTGAAATGAAATTCTCCCCTAGTCGGATAATCATGGACTGTCTTACTAAGTAAATACTGTATGTTTCTCCTCGTATTGTCTTTCAAAAAATGTATCAATTTGTGAGAAAAGGGCTATTATTTCAGGCAAATCCAACATTGTAATATTATAACTGCACGTACTTTGATGCAGCTATTTTAGAACCAAATAATTTGAAGGTAACGTATACAGCTGGATGAATAGAAAATAGAAAGTCAAACAGCTTTCAAGGGTTGAGCCCAAAATGTCTTTGATGAAAGAAAAGTGTTGTATGGAATTGGCGTTATAGATTAATGAACCTTTTTACAGATCACAAAAAACATGTATGAATCATTTTAAATATTAAAGACCTTTTTTACAATGTCATGTCTAATTTGGCGGAGAAATATTAAATTATAGATCTTGTGTAAAAGAATATTCCACAAAAAAGAGCTATGTTCACTTTATGCATAAAATGGCCCTGAACTTATATCAGTTAATTAACTATCACACTCTTTCCCATTCCATATATCAAAATAAAGTAGACACTTGATGCTTCCATTTCCTATGATAAAACTTCTTTTTGCGAATCCAGATATTGGAATACAGGCTTTGAGAAATTGCAGTGTTCTTGAGCTTTACAGACAACATGCCTATTTGACAACTTTCAGCAAAGAATTAAAATATGATCGCAGCCCACGATCCAAAAAATAAAACATGTTTTTGATCTTCAGAAACAGGTCTTTCATTATGTATTTGCATAGTTTGGATCAGAGACTGTGCTCTACACAGGGAAAAGTGGTTTGTGTGATATTCATGTAATCATCTCTTTATTTGAAAATTATGTGAAAATCTTATAAAAATTATATAAATATATTTTCATATGAATATCATGTGAATATAAGTTTATATGAAATTCACAAAAATCTTTTTTTTATTAACTTTCATGTAAAGTTTTCTTTGCAAGTTATTTATGCGATATGCTCTTCATGTAAAATTCATATGAAATTTATGTCAAAATCACATAGGTTTTCACATGAATTTCACATGTCTTGTTTTTTTTTGTGTTTTTTTTTTCATGTGAAGAATTCACATGAAATTTATGTGAGCCACTTTTGCCTGTGTATATGAAATATTGATAAAATACTTCACCTTTAGACCATTTTCAAAGGAATTTACAGGATATGAGGAAAATGACGCATTAAATTACGTCATAATGCAATGACTAAAAGGAAAATTACGGCATGATTAATAGATACGTGGTCACTAACCCTTAAAGTGATAAATACTGCATTTCCAACCTAAACAGAGCGGTTTTGATTTTTTCAAAAAATTTCAGGGCCAAATAAGGCACAACGTGGCTCTTGCTCTTTAGGAAATAGAACTTGATTATTTTATTATGATAAACTAAAATTCCTCAATCTACTTGTATGTTCTTCATTAAAATAATGTTTTCCATACATTCTCCTCTTTGGCTACTGATCCCACCTCTAATAATTTAGAGGTCCGTGTTTGCTATGCTCCTGATTTGTTTTGCTTGACTGTATATTGGACATTTGAGTTGTTGGTTATCTTGGTTATCTCTGTGTATGTCGTCGTTTTGGACACATGATTTGCTCACAATAATTTGCAACAGCACCGTTACGAAATGTTCAAAAACTGAACTTTTTTATCTAGTCTATACATGTACATGTATATGACTGTTAAATTAATATTTCGACTGTTCTTTATTCTGGCACCGAAGATTGCTCATGGTAGCAGCGTGTATTGATTTTAAAAATTCATGTTAAAATTTTGTAATTAATTAAAACAACAACACACCTTCAAAAAAATATTTCTAAAGATACATGTATATGTTATTTTTTCTGAAAGATCTGGGCTCGGTCTACAAAATTGAAGTACACCATCCTATGCCTATCGATACTTAGAGAAAGAAAAGGTACGGTTTGATCTTTATTGATCCCTATACATTTAATGTTCTGAAAAAGATGTGAAATTTGCTGGATTTTGAGTTGAGAAGATGAATACAATAAATCATTAGAGAATATGGCATGAAAGATGACTACAGTGTATTCGGGAAATTTGACGTCATTAATTTGTAACATCTCATGCAAAACAGCCTAAAAAATCTCCTACTTATGTGGTTATTTCCTTTGGAAAAAAGTATCCACAGCAATTACCCACTTCAATATATTAGGATATATTGTGTAAAACGGTTATGTAAATAAATATCTCAAATCTTTTTGGTCGAAGCATACTGAAAATTGGTGTCTTCTGCAATTTTTTAATAGAAAGTACGGGAAATGCACAAGTTCATGACATTACAATTACATACCATTTGTGAGGTCATATCGGAAAATGATTGGTATGATTTTATTGCATGGTATTTCAATAAATCAGAAAGGATTATTTTTAATTGTAACATTAGTTCAATATTTTAGAAAAATACAAGGCCAGCTTTGTATTGAAACCGTACCTTGTTCTTACATTACATCGTTGGAGGAGTGCCCATTCAAACTAATGACCTCAAATAGTGATTGTGCAGTAGTCGGCTGACAAAAATGATAAGGAACATATAAAAGATAAACGGCCTGTTGACTGTGAGGTGAATGTACGATTTTAACTACTTTGGATAGCCAAGACAATGGACCATTTCTTCAAAGGTATATGCTGAATATAATTATATACATTAATCATTTATTACTTTTATAATGACACATTTACTTTCTAACTTAAATGAATTATATATAACTATTTTGGACTAAAATATTTCCCATACTTAATTCTGGAGATTCTCTTGAAATGCATCTAAGAATAACATAGTTAAATATATTTTAGGTCAATTAAACTTTCTTTGTGCATACTGACCAATATTTTTCGTTGAAAATTGCTGTAAATTTATATGTAGTGGTTAGAAATATTTTTTTTGTATATGAAAATAATTTATGTAGTATGAATAATAAATATTACATAAAAATTATAGCACATAACCTTTTTCGTTTAATTTTCAGCGTCAATCGTCCTTATTTACATTTACATTCAACGGTGTACTGCAGGTAACACATATTTTTTTACATCTTACAGTACATTATAATATGATGTCTTTTTCAAAAAATTGTTTGATTGTGAATGGTTTGTTGAATGACTTACTATTATAAAAGAGTTTATATGCCACACCACCAACTCAAAAGCGGCAGGATTTCAGTTGAATTCCATGTACACATGTACGTGTTCAATCTCACAATCGCTGAACTATGACGCCCCAATTATGACGTCAAAGCCTATGATTTTGTAATACAAAAGGATATCTTTACTTTTTGCAAAAAATTGCAAGCATATGTCGCGTTTCTTATTCTATTTGATGAGGTCAATTCAAGGCAATCATATATATGATTGTTTTATTTTCACAGAATGTCATGGTTTGGTTAATCACACTTCCCTAACCATTTCTTCTTCAAAGACAATTATAATTCAAGGTTTTGGGGTTTCCAACTTTTGTTGAAATCAATTCTAAGAAAACTAATCGCCTGAACATCCAATTAGACCACATTACATATTTACATAGCCATTGCGTCAAAGCTATAGAAATGATAAGAGGCCACAACATATTATATTCGAATTTATCTACTCCTTGTCGTTTTGGCTTTTAATAAATGCATAAATGTAACCTTCTAAAAATGTATATAAGCTATATTCTTAAAATAGATAATTATAAGGTATTTGATGTCTTAAAGTATTCTCATGACAAAAGATAGGATATTTCTTTTCTTTTTTCTTTGGAAGTGTATGTCTCTTTTTAAAAAAAAAATATTATAAGTATATATTACTGTATATAATTCGTAACATGGTTTTAGTTTTAGAATCCTTACACTGTTTGTCTTGTACGGATACTGTATCCCCCCTCCACTGTCATCTCATCAGAAAATGTCCTGCTGGTGATGTAAGCATTTAAAAGTACTATGTAAAATAAAGTTACATCGTCACTTTTCCTTCAGATAAAGATAAAACTAAAAGAATTAAACCCCTTATTGTGTTGACGAAGTTGAAGTCCGTGATAACAATATTACTTACTAGCTAGATCTGAAAATGGTATATTCAGATAGGATTTAAACCATGCAGATATTAAAGCCAATTATTTTTCGCCTGTTTATGACTTTACTCATCTTTTAAGATGTATTAATAGATTGTGTTTGTTAACTTTTCCAATTTTTAAACTATTTTACGAAACAATTCGGAATGGATAGATTTTCTTTTGGACTTATAAATTTAACCTTCTCCAATGAATACATAATGATGAATAAACAATTTAATGTTTGGGTAACTAGAAAATGTCTTTAAGTTAAAAGTTTAAATTATATAGATCACAATGTTTTTTTGATAAAAGAAAAATGAACGACTTTTCAAGCAATTATGGTGGTTTATAGCTGTTTCTAATTAAAAGGTATGCTACATAGAACAATTTAGGACAATCAATGGAGAAAACCTTTACAATATGGGGTGCTACACAGAAAGGGTGAGTAGATCCATTTCTTAGTATTCCTGAGTAATTTACTCACAAATAAAATGTTTTGGACTTGAAATGTATAGGATTAACATATTACTTTGTTTCAAAATGAAATGACCTAATAATGGAGATATTTATGACAACAAATTCATGTAGACATTTCAAACATGTATGTTATTTTGTTGGTTAAATAAAGATTTGCCATGACCGTCAAATGAAAGCTAGAAAACGACAATCGTCACATGTGACCGGAAGTGAAAATCCACAGTGTGTACACTGCTGCAAATCTGATGCCTGTAATGTACAAGGTTGTCACTCTACAGGTAAATTGGTAAAAATAGTCATAAAAAGTAACTAAATGAGTTAAAGTTTATTTACCCTTAGAAAACCTTTCATTCGTACACAGTTATAGAACATGCATATACTACATTTAGCTAATAAAAAAGACAACGCCATTTCAGATAAATTCTTGAATGAAATTCGTTGTTTAAATATAATGTAGAACTTTTTTCTAAGGTAAATAGTAGGGATGTCAAAATTGTCAATAATTGATATTCGAATATTCGATAGTAGTATTCGAATATATTCGAATATTCGATAAAATAAATACATCTTGCATTATAATATGTCTATATCTTCACTCTTTTGTCAAGCAATATACGTTTTATGTCATTACTTTGGAATAAAATTTCATGTAGAGTTTTGTAAATGCACTTTAATTACATGTATATTCTTAAAATATTTTACAGAATATATGAAGAATTTACGTCCAAATTATAATAAAAAAAATCCCCCCGAAAATTCAAAAGATTCTTTTAATAAGTTCCAGATTAATTAATCATCTTACCAAAGTGTACACTGATAACCCTACAGATTTATACCACACAGAACAATTATCTAATGGAGAAACATTAAAGCAATTACTTTTAGCTAATTAATTTCCTGATAATGATTTTAAATGATGTATACGTAAACAAGGGATCCATGTGTGTTACTTAAAAATGTGTCCTTTCAATAATACAAATTAATTCTAAGTACCGGACACTGTTATACCTCTAATTAAATGATCAAATGAATAATTTTTAGCATTTTAAGAGATACTGTTATGGGTCAGAATTACCCTTAAATGCCAGCAAAGATCAATCACACAATTGAAACTTAACAATAATTTATTAACATCAATATATACAAATCATAAAGTACAAACTTAGCAAGAATCTAAAAATACATACATCAGAGTGTCCGTTGCTGCACACAATGTCCTAAGTATATCCCAGTCTCTTTATACACCTGTACATCAATGTTACTTATACGACAAATTATTTATGCATCGAATTGACAGGGTATTTATACAGTATCATAAATCTAGAATATTCTAGAAATTATTAAAACATGATATTACTGGAACAATCTGGACATACACAAAATTTAAGAATGTTCTAGATCAAATGACCGAACATGTTGACCACTCTGGAATGTTCAAGAAACTTAATGTTACTAATTATATACATAATGAAACAATACACATATCACAACAATACACTCTTTACACCTTTAAGGTAATCCAAGAGTGTCTTTTAATTTTGTTAAAATAAAATCTTATTGTTGTTCAACGATAAGAATTTGATTCAATTTCTGATAAAACTTCAGTTTTTGCCACATTTTTTTTTCCTTTTTGATGCTTGTATACTTAAAATCCGAATATTCGAATCATAAATTTATATTCGAATATCAACTCATCGAATGAATATTCGAATATTCGTTGACATCCCTAGTAAATAGACAACAAACAAAAACATTTAAACGAATACCGACATCAATTTGAATTTTGTTTTAAGGGTTTCCTCTTCAACGTGGACCTTTGTGTTTTAACTGCAAACAGAGCAGCAACCCGGAACTCTGTCGTTACGTCAAGGTTTGCGAGTTTGATCAGGTACCTATAACTTAATTATGTTTGATCACTTTGTAGAGTCATTTGTAAAGGGACAATAGAAGAAATGTTTTCATTGTCCAAATGCAGGCTTTCATTACTATTTAAATTTAGTAAATGCGTTACTTTTAATAAACACTGATTTTCTTCTGCCCTTATCAACTAAGACATAATTATAAGCTTACGACGAACTGTTTTAGTTTTTGAACTTTTGATTAAATCTATTTAATGATAAACATAATTGAACATATTTGAAATAGAGTTTTATAACTAAGTTTGATTGATAAATACAATCCCATTGAACCTTTAATGAAACTGTTTGACGTTCTCTGATATATATATTATGAAACGCCTTTTCATAAATATCTCTTTGTGATAGGTTTGTCATCTGCATGAAGAGGAGGAATTTGGAGACAAATTTTATGCATCGTCATGTTTACTTCAGAATGTAAGTGGATCTGATAAACACAACTTAAACGTTTGTCCGATAAACTCAAAAAGATGCTTCTTATACATAAATTTCATCAAATTGGAGTGAAAAATAAAAGATGTATTAAATTAAGTACGCTGTACTAATAGGTAAAAAAAGATAAAGGTAAAAGAAAGGATAAATGTTTGTTATAAAACAATGATATTTATGGAATAACAAGAAATCTACTTTTGTACCTCGAGTGTTTATTATTTATTCGAGTAATACACAGACTTTAGGCCAAGCCTGCAAATTAATATATTTTTATTTATTTTGTGTCCTTTTTTATGGTTTTTGTTTTGTTTTGGGGGTTATTTTTGTTGTCCAATGTTGAAAAAATTCTGCTTTCTTCTTGAAACTGAGCTGATTATGCAGTTTTCATGATCAATTAGGTCGAATTGGACATTCATTTTGGTTTAACAAAAAAAAAAAATCAAGAACCGCCATGTTCCCTGAAAGAAAGTTTGTTGGAAGTGAACCTTCCTTGGAATAGTTTATACATTGCTATGTCTCAGTCTCAGGGAGGCATAAGTTATTCCATATTTTATATTAAAGGTTAATTTAACATTCTTGCCCTTTTTCTTGATTGGATATTTTCCCACAACTTCTAGGGTAGATTAAACCAATAAAATTATATAAACACCCTCTGTGGCAACGCACTTTGAAAAAATTTACGCAGTTTGAAATTTTTTTTTCAAAGTGCATTATAATTGGGAAAAAATCAAGACACTTTGAAAAAAATTCAAAGTGCGTTAAATTTTTGACACATTCAACGCACTTTAAAAAAAATTCAAAGTGCGTTAAGAGTGTACATCAACATTCTTTAACATGTGGACATTTAACGCACTTTGAAAAAAAAATATGTATGAAACAAAAATTCTAGACTTGGAATTTAGTAATAGAGAGAATCAAAAAACGTTTTAATGTACATGTATTGATTTACCTTCATTGAAAACAAGGAGAAGATGAGTATATAGAAGGTCGCTCAGTCCAACTCTTTTTTTACTTATACATAGCCGTCAGTAGCAAATTGAAACTGGACCCCCCAAGGTACATGTAAGTCTCAATTTTTGATGCCTGTATTATGAATATCTTTGCAAAACATTTGGTTGACTAACCCCCCCCCCCCCACCACCAACCCCCCGCGGGCTCCGATGTCTATGTTTCACCCAAATATTTGTATTTACATAACTGGTGTGACGTTGAAAACTTTCAATAAATTTTAGTTTACATTAAATGCATGCAAGTGGAAAAAAAAATAAAGTACATTAAAACATTTAAGAGCGAAAGGATTTTCAAAGTATTAAAAAATCAAAATCACTCGCTTTCACATCCTGAAGTGAACTTATTACCAAAAAGTTATCCAACAGGTTCAATTATTTTCATACCTAAGATTTTCAAGTATATTGACCAAGCCATACATATTTTTTTCAAAGTGGGTTAATATGGTCGATATCAGCTCACTTTGAAAAGAAATTTCATTTTTTTCAAAGTGCGTTGATTTGGTCCCAAATTTAACGCACTTTGAAAATATTTTTCAAAGTGCGTAATTTTTCAAAGTGCTTTGTAACAACCCTCTTTTTTAATATTAAAAGAATAACATTTTCACTTTGTCCGTCTTACTGATAGTTTTTTTTCTTCTTTTAATTTGACTTTATCCTTTACATCTTAAGGCTTAGACCCATGAAGCCGTATCAAAAGATTCCTTTTTGAAAAGAAAACGAAATGATAATTATATCTTATTTTTAATAAAAATATATTTTAGAAATTCTATTTTGTTAAAGTATAAATACAATTTTATGTCTCATAAAATGATTTATATACAATCTTTTTTACATTGTTTTTGACAAATTTAGATTAAAATTTTTTGATTTTTAATGTAAAAAATTTAGATTAAAATTTGGATCGGGTTGTTATTGATTTTTAATTTGATTTTACGCAAACATGAGGTTAATTCGAGATTCCTCTGACTCTAACCCGCGCTTTTATATTATGACTTGTGCGGGGGAGAGTCAGAGCGGACTCCATATTGAAAACTGGGAATTTGGCGAAACTAACTGGTGTCGCGACTCTGCCTACCTTTTACAACTTTATTTCGCGGAGCTAACTCCCGAGACGCGAGAAATCAGTAAAATGATTATTATTCTACTTGTTAATCGTCATTACAATGATGCTACCGCCGTTTAAACGGTCCTATCACCGACAAATGAAGCTTATCACGTGAAAATATCATGTTTGGTGTTAATGCTGTTTTTAACCTAATTTTAGTATAGAAGTCGTTTTTGACAGTTGCTTTCATTATAAATAAATAAATGAAACATCATTATATTGTTTTATGTATTTTTTCACAACACTTTCACATTTTTCCGAAAGGTCCACACGTGTTTTGAGCACGTGTTACTTTGGAATTTTGTGTATTTGTGTGCTGACGTCATGCGCAAAAGAAGTCGAATGGCGAGGAGGCGACCTAATTCAAGTGATGCTTCATTTGTCGGTGATAGGACCGTTTAAACGGCGGTAGCATCATTGTAATGACGATTAACAAGTAGAATAATAATCCTTTTACTGATTTCTCGCGTCCCGGGAGTTAGCTCCGCGAAATAAAGTTATAAAAGGTAGGCAGAGTCGCGACACCAGTTAGTTTCGCCAAATTCACAGTTTTCAATATGGAGTCCGCTCTGACTCTCCCCCGCACAAGTCATAATATAAAAGCGGGGGTTAGAGTCAGAGGAATCTCGGATTAACATGAGGTTGGAATCAATTTAGAGAGATATTCAAATTTCTCTGATTTAAAGCTATATTTTCTACTCCTGTGACATCACCTCAGATGCGTTATCAGTTTGAACAGTTTGATGGATTGTGCAATTGTCTTAATCGATTTCGGATTATTACGCATGGAGGTAAAAACCTGATATCCCAAACCGCGCACTGTAGTGCAGATAGGTCAATCCTTCCTTGAAGAGTTGCTTTGTGTTTTTAACTGAATGAACCAGATTTCGATAATTCACGGCTACAGAAACATACATTTAAAATGTTAATATGAGCCAGGGGCGGTCTCAAGACCCGCGAGCTAGCCAGCTCAAGAGAATATTACTCGACTTTCAAGTTGGTCAGCAGACATCCATCCAAGTAGGCGACAGTGATTGACAATAATAAACTTTTACACCATTAATATCACCAGTTCACCAGCAATAATTAAATTTGGCACCACTGCAGTTTCTGGAACCCAGACATGAAATACTTGGCAAGTGATGGGGTTCACCTGAAGACAGCAGCTGCGACCACCGGTTCATGAAGAAGTACCTTCAGATCATAAAAAGTGCTGCCCTCCATGCCTCCCATCTGATTGGATGGGAAAATAATGATAAGTAGTACATTGAACATATGATGATTGTTATGCATCAGTGTTTTCCATTTATTTCAAAGTAAAGGATTAGAGATCACAAAATCTCTGTGGATCTTACAACAAATTGTTATTCTAAAGCGACAATTTTGTCATTTAAAGCGGTCAATTTACCTGATTGCCGGCTCTTAGGGAAAACACTGAATGCATGTGATAAAGATTCTGGCTAATGCCGCAATATGTCATGTCACATGTGATAAAGATTCTGGCTAATGCCGCAATATGTTATGTCACATGTTACACAAAAATATGACATTATATTAGTGCTTATTTAATTTCAACGTAAACCTCGACATGTCTCTGCACATTACGTTTCATGAATTAATAATTTGCTGTCAATGTCAGCACTTGTCAAAATTTTGGGAATCGCCAATGGATTCCATCATATTATGTGAAGGCTCCAATTTGTTTTTCTTAATCTTCCCAATATCCAATGAAGGTTGGGACGATTTGTTTATTTATTAAAAAATGGTTGCCTATCAATGTTTTTTGTATGTGAAGGCTCCAGCTGTTTTTGTCAGTGTCAGTACTGGTCAGTATGGGAATCGTCAATTGATTCCAATTGATGTTGGGAATCGTGAATTGATTCCAGTATGATTATGGGAATCGTCAATTGATTCCATCATATTATGTGTAGGCTACCGTTTGTTTTTCTTAATCGCCCAATATCTGATGAAGGTTGGGACGATCTGTTTCTTTATTTCAAAAAAGGAATTTGTTTTTCTTAATCTTCCCAATATCTAATGAAGGTTGGGAGGATCTGTTTATTTATTTATAAGTGGTTTGCCTATCAATGTCTTTTTGCATGTGACTATGTGAAGGCTCCAGTTTGTTTTTCTTAATCTTCCATGTATCTAATGAAGGTTGGAAGATCTTTTTATTTATTTATAAAAAAAAATGGGTTGCCTATCACTTTTATGTCACGGTTGTTGAATTTTATGATGACCATGATGAACTGACCTATTTTAAGCTGAGCCGACACTTGTATATGATAATAGATTGGCAACATGCATTGTGAAGAGTTCAATAACAAATGATAAAGATGAAAAATGTAAGCATGTTTGCTCCTATCTACCATGTGTTTATAGCTTGGTGGCAAAGAAAATTATTAATTCTATTATATTATCACCTATGGCAATTACAACTGCTTAGACTTATTGTAGAATAAAATGCCACCAAAAAAGAGGAAAATGTGATGGGTCCGAAGCCTCCCAAAAAGGTGAAGTTACGCAGTCAACCGGCTCAATTGCTCTCTGTGGATTCAGTTTGGGCAATTCGGTGGATTCCAGTTGATCATCGACTCAAGTGGCTGCTCCAAAAAATCAGCTGGCAGCAGCAAATCTTAGACAACAGCAACAGCCTTGACTCACAGCAATGCTTCTACAAACAAGATCGCTTCAGAGGCTGCACCACTGCACCGCAGACTTCTATTACATCTTCTACTGATTTGAATAGTTCCTATTTGGTAAACACCCTTATAACAGTTGCATTGCTTTTCCTTATAACAGTTGCATTGTTTTTCAGGTTTTCGGTGGCAGATACATTTAACAGTAACAACTAGATTCTGTCCCATTATCAGTAGACAAATAAAAAAATAAAAAACAAATAAATAAATAAATAAATAAAATCTTTAATGATCATTTCATTGACCTCAAAAGTTTACTTCTAAATTTAAAATAGAAAAATATTTCAATTCAGATAGAAAATAATGTTAATCATTAAATCCTCAGTCAACTAGTTTTAATTGTAATGGGAACCATTTCAGATGTTCGCTAAATGCTCCCCCAAGTTCCTTATGTCCTTCCTGGTGTCTTATTCCCGGCATGCTTCATAAAATAAGGCAATCTAGTATTTTAGTCATTTTAGGGTTTACACACACGCAAATACATGCACATACATAATGACCATATCAAAATGTTTACACTTTTAATGCATCCATTTTAAAAGCAATTCATCATAAATAATTGAAAATTGGCTATATTAAATATATTTGTCATTTTACTCATTTCGTGTTCTTGCAAGTGCATGTATGTGCAGATTTACCATGTCATTTGGTGAACACTATTAAAAGTGCTATTATATTCTGATTTTTAAATCATTTCATTCTCAAAACATACATATACATATAAATATATATAGATAATTTGGCGATATAATGTATTATCAGTAAATGAAGACATTTTGTGAAAAATAAGTTGTGCAATGTGACATTAATGAAAATGTATTACAGATTATATCTGAGAGGCACTTATGGCTAAGCTAGACATAGGAGATGATTTTAGAAATATCCCAAAGCACCTTCAGACTATCATTTAACAATCAATATTATTTGATAAATGTTAACCAATGGGTGCTAGTTCATCTTGTCAGTTTTGTTTAAGTTTTAAACAGGTCCTTGTAATGGTTTATGTTGGAATAAAAATCAGGCCAATATCTCAAAATGTCTCTCTGATGTTAGAAACTTCAAACGTTTACATTTGAGAGTATATTTTCCTCTAAAGAAACAAAAACTGTCTTCTCAATAACTTGTTTGACTATATATGGAATTGAGGTAGATTCTATTCCTATAGGAAGTAGATTATCTAAGACATGAGAACAAACTCATTAATATTAGACAAATGTTGAGAGGGATAGTCCAGGATAAATGTTCAAAATTTGCCTGTCAAGTGGTCACACCTGGTCGTGCATTGTTTGAGACTCTTTATAGATTTGACTCCTGAGTTCAATTGCAAACCAAACCATTACATAGAAAATCAACTGCTAAGGAACATGTTGAATTAAGGCAATGTAGCCTTTTAATATGGATCATTTTTGTGGCAAGTCAATATTGCATCTGACAGTATTAGTGATGTTCTTTACAGAAGCTACATTTATAAGTAGATAGATGCATCTGGTGCTTTGGGTTAAGAAACTGTATAAAGTTTAAAATGGTCTGCTAAATCTTAGTTACATATTCATATAGATTGTCAAATTTATCTTAAAGTTCTTCCAATCATTTTGCTAGTAGACATTTGGGTCCCATATTTCAACTATCAAAATTTGCCTTTTAGCTGATAATACAGCAGTTATACCTTCAAAACTCATAGTTTACTGTTTTATCTTCCATCTACAGAAAGAATTATTTGCAATTTTTAATTTTGTGAACCAAATACTCCTCTATGGTAGGAAAGTTGTCAAAAGAGCCCAGAGCTTCCAATCACAAAACCCATCTTAATGAATTAGTATCTGACTTATTTCACACTTTTCAAGAAGCAGATACAAGAACCAACTATCAGCAGTCTTCCTTTTGCCTTGAACATTTTTATGCACTTAGGCAAACTCGTTCCTATAAACAACACATACAACTCAAAAGTAATTCAAAGACAAGCCATAATATTTCTTTGATGATAATTCACTTTAGGTAACAAAGATATATTCCAAACTATGAATGATAGGCATCCAGTGATACTTACTTTAACAGCCAATGACTTAAAATGTCAATTTGTCCAGTTCATGCCTTAAAGGTATACATTACTTAACATAAACACACATCTAGTCCTTTATTCACCTTCAAGTCTGATGAACCAGTTAAGTACAGTTTTGTGGGATTCCAATCAAAACATGCAACATAAGTTTTCAACTGATTGCTTTACTTTGGTCATAGGTTTTGTGTTTGTACTGCTAGTGGCAGCTTAGAATGGTTTATCTGAAATTGTAATCCAACAACTCGGTCGTTGGCACTCAAAAGACGTTACATTAAAATAAATGCAGTCAGGTTTTAAATTCCACAATTGATGTTAAGAATTCTAAACTAAATGTTTCCCTTATACATGTACTGTCATTGACTATTGAAAGAGAGAAGTGAGCATATGGTTGTTTCTCTCCAGAATTTAATTAGGATCTGATAAACTTTTTACATCCAATTTCAGTGATTTAACATATAAATAAGTTCCAAACTAAATGTTCCCCTTAAACATGTACTGCCATCGACTATTGAAAGAGAGAAGTCAGCATATGGTTGTTTTTCTTCAGAATTGAAATAGGATCTAATAAACTTTTTACATCCATTTCAGTGATTAAATGTATAAATCAATTCCAAACTAAATGTTTCCCCTTATACATGTACTGCCATCGACTATCCAAAGAGAGAAGTCAGCATATGGTTGTTTTTGTTTTTTTTCTTCCAGAATTTAATTAGAATCTGATAAACTTTTTACATCCATTTCAGTAATTAAACATGTAAATCAAGTCTATTAGGCCAGCTAATGGTTGCTGTGATAAATTGTAAAATTTTAAAGCATCCTATAAAAAAAAAAAAAAACAAATTTAAACCTTCCGAGGTCAGCATTTATAATTAGCTGCTTAAATAAAATAGTACTTTGGTCAGTGATCTTGCAAAGTGTTTGCTTTGAAAATTACGTGCTAGTTAGATGCACATTTTTTACTCTTCATATTGGCCTTAAATTTGTGAGCTAATATACTTGAGGACAGCACCCAGCTGCTCATAAAATTTATGTATGTTAGTTGGAATTCAGCTTTAATTTTGGTCTTGAGAATTGTGTATCAGGTCAGCATATGTCTGTTTACAAAATTGTATCATGTCATGAGCTTAGAAGTTCAAAAATTTGTGTATCAGGTCAGCGAACAGCTGCTTATAAAAACTGTATGTTAGTTGGAACTCAGCAGGATTTTGTTCTAAATTTTGTGCATAAGTTCAGCATATGGATGTTCATAAAATATTAATTGTAAAAATGAGCTCATGTTGTTTATGAGGTAGCATATGGTCTCTTTTTTAGTCTCGTTAACCTTATGTTATTCACAAGTTTAGTAACCTTTGTCCTTTATATTTTGTTACTTATTCAGATATAACGTTGTGCTTATGTGGGTTATTAATGTTTATGCTTATTTAGTCCATACGGTTACATGATATTCAGTTCACAAAGTTATTATCTGTTAAAGAACACATGTTTGCTACAATTAATATTGAGCAGTATATAATTTATGAAATGCCTTTCCTTGGGTGGCGCTGCATGCTTCATGCAAGCATTTTGCATGCTGTGTGGCCTCTTTGTTTACGCCACCTTCTTGTTACACAAACTTGGTAATCATTATATAACAATAGCTGGGATAAGCACTAAGTCGCAATATATCATATCTAAGTTGAAACTAATCATTATTTGGCCTTATCCCAGCTATAATTTACATGATTGTATGTAATATTGTATATTTATGTGTTTTTGTTCACTTTCGTCATTTATCTGGTCAATAAATGACATTTTCACTCAACTCAAGTTCTCTTGTCTTCACTAGTTTTCAAGTAACAAGAACAAGCTACGGAAAGGCTTTTCATATTGTGAAAGTTACTTTTATTAGTGGAAAAGTTGTGGATATAAATACAATTTTATGTCTCATAAAATGATTTATATACAATCTTTTTTACATTGTTTTTGACAAATTTAGATTAAAATTGCAGTTGTTATTGATTTTTAATGTAAAAAGAGTGGGATCGACTGGATCGGGATCGAACTCATGTTTGGATCGGGTTCGGCTTGATCGGAATCGAGTGCTCAATTAATTTGATTTTACGCAAACATGAGGTTGGAATCAATTTACCGCCA